TCCATACGGCTCGGCGGTGTGCTGCTCGGCCAATTCCTTGGCCTCCTTCAAATGTTTAGCTCCGGCCTTTTCCAAAACGCCCCTGCTCAGCTATATTCCTCTACGCAAGCTCCCACCTCTTCACAAAATATTCGTTGCGCTTATGAAAGGAGAACTCAACAATTCCAGACACAGGCAACGATCGAACTACGATGAATACACGGTTGAAGGACTCCGAGGAGTTAGTGGTCATGATGCCATACCTAAAACCCCCCTCGTCATATGTTAACGCCCACTTAGCCTTCTGTTCCATCTGCGCCTCTAACCAGGTCTTTTCCGCTGCATTTAACATCTTGTCTAGTTCTCTCTTTGTCTCCTTAAACTGGTGCTCTGTACGTACACAACATAGAGCCTTTACCTTGTCACATACCTCCTGCTTCTGCTGACGCCGCCAAAAATTAGCAGCAAAGTGTCTCATGCCCCATCTATGTACTAGAGGCGGGAACCCATCTATATGCTCAGCTGCAACATTAAGAAGCCCTGTGTGACGGTCGGAGATCAAACATATAGTGTGAGTTGGGCCAAGCACTTGCACACGAAGAAGCCGCATGAACCATGACCACGATTCATTGTTCTCTCCCTCTGCCAAAGCAAATGCGATGGGTACTATCTGGTCCTCAGGATCAACAGTAGCAGCCATCATCAAGGTGCCCCTATACTTTCCTATCAGGAAAGTGCCATCAACAAGTACGACTGGCCGATAAAAGTGGAATGCATGTTCCGTTTGCACAAACGACCAGAACACATGATAGATGACATGCATTAATGGGTCCTGAAAACATATCCCTCTGGTGTCCACAAACCATTTCAAGCCAGGGTTGTAATAATGCATTGCACATAAGATGTGGGGCACCCTGTTGTACGCTTCTTCCCAAGTACCCCATCGAATCGCCAGAGCAATTTGGTTAGCACACCAAGCCTTTTCATAAGTCACATCGTACCCAACGAATTTAGATCTAGACTCTTGCAAAGAAGAGACCGAGATGTCGTTATTGTCATCAACGAGCCCCAATATATGACGGGCAAGGTAACGTGCAGTGAGTTGCTGATGATTTTCCTTCCCCCTATTGTCTAGGCAAGTGTGGGGTTCAACAACTTTAGTTATCCTCCACTTGCCATCACTCTGTCTCCTTCGTGCATTTAACCTCCACAGACAACCGTTTTTGCATATCAAGTGGTACCTCAACTCCTGGTCCGAATGAGTGACGGTGTACGGTCTATGGTGGTACACAAAGATAGTCTGAAGGAAGAGTTTCATCTCTGACATTGTGCTGAATATCATCCCCTTCCTAAGGGTTTCTGTCTCATGGTTATACAATGAATTCCTACACATCTGGAGACCGGTATCACAAACTGTCATATCCGTCATGCTAACATCCCTATAGTTCAGGACGCCCCTGAAAGGTACGTTCATGGACCTTAGTTGCTCAAGCTCAGTCGCTGTGTAAGGTGGTGGTGGAACATATTACTGCGCTTCGCTAATTTTGGCCCATCAATCATAGGGGATATCATCTGCAACCAAATCTATGACTAGTCTACCCTGAGCATGGACACCTTGCAAATCCTCAGTTGGTACTGGTAATGGCATAGTATGTACCGATACTGCCATGGCATCAGCCGTTGTTGCCATAGCATCTGTACCTCCTTGGTCATCATCAGAATCGTCTGAATCACTGCTAACCACATCACCGATCCTGTCCTCCTCCTCCTGCTCCTCCTCTTCCCATTCGAACTCATTCACATCAAAGTCATTGCTTATACAGCCTACTGCAGTTGAATGAAACTGCTCCTGCGTCAACTGACCGTCCAAATCCATGTTATCCTGAGTTGCTTCCCCTTCGACCCCTAATTCTTTTTCATTGCCTCCAAATTCATCAATAGACGGCCCGTCTTGAACACCATGCATCCTATACCCATTCTCCACCACCACCTTAGCCCTGGGCACATTGGAACCTTGGAGAACCCTAGTGTAGCGAGACCAGTGAGCAGGGTCACGCAAGGGCATGAGGACATAGTGTGCCCTAGTCTTCCCAGTATCAAACCTACCTTTTAGTGTGAAATCACCGCCAAACTTTATATTCAAACGGACACAAAGGTCGTTGAAGCTAGGAGGTTTATCAAACCATTATAATTCTTCTTCCATATCCTCAAACATACCATCCTCTCTCCTAACACTTCCTCCGTATAAAACTCTAATACAACAATCCATCTGCAAAAGCATTTCAAGAAACTTCATTAAGTCGTCGAAATCATCGTACGTAATGTCCATACTAACATTAATATATTTTCTAACTATAACTATACTAACTAATCAAATATTAACATTTATACAAGGCATACTATAACTATACTAACGAAACTACCTATACTAACTTATTATATTACGTATATTAACTAAACTAATTAACTTTACTAACTATACTTTAATAATTTTACTAACTTTATTAATTGTGCTAACTATATTAGTGGAGTACCTCGTTGCCGCGTGCAAGACCGGGCCGGGAGGCACGGGCGCAGGGCAGCCGCCGTGCGTGACCAGAGGTTCTAGCCGGAGGGGGAGGCGCGTCGACGTGCGGGCGCGGTGGCCGCACCTGGCGGCCGACGGCCTGGTTGCCTAGCTGCTTGGCTGGCGTGTCCGGGCAGACGCGGCTGGCTTGCTGGCTTGGCCGGGCTGGCAGGCGTGGGCGGACACGGCCGCGGCGAGCAGGCGCGGGCGAAGGCGGGCGCGGCGGGCAGGCTGCCTTGCTGCGTTGCTCGGAGAACGGCGACTGCTCGGGCACGCGGGCCGCGGCGGAGGATATACCCGGCACTGCCGCGCCATGGATCAGGGCGCGGCACCGCCGCGCCAAGATCGGTGGCGCGGCAGAGCTCTGCCCCATCAGCGGTCAGCGTTTCTGATCGCCGCCACGTTAGCTCCCTGTCGTGGCGCGGCACAGGTATTTGGCCACGCCAGGAAAATAGGCGCGGCCAAAAGTGTTAGTTTTAAATAAAACCAAGAGTGTTAGATTTAAAATTAGTTTTAAAAAAAATGTTAAAATTAAAAAAAAATTCTGACAGCCTGCATGCCGTCACCCTGTGCGATGAGGAGAGACCGTTGAAGCATTTCCCGTGCAGCTCTGGCGGTAAATTAGGCAGCGGACGCGGTGGCGGGGCCTCGTTGCGGCCTCCTGACGGTCCACGTGAAAGGACCTCACGCCAACCGCCGGTGTCTGGAGCGGAGAAGCGCCGCCGAGCGCCGCAAGCAGGCTGCGGTCCTAGCCTTAGATGGGCCAGCTGACGCTGCACACGACCGCGGAAGCCCCGACTGTTTCCGCTCTCGCTGTCCCTGCCCTGGACAGGAAGCCCGTGGATGAGCCGCAGACGTGGACGGCGAGCCTTGAGGTTGCGCCGCCCTCGCACGGCGCCGGCACCAGTAGCACCGCTGTGCGCGCCTCCGGCAATGTTGGCTGGCCAAGCTCCCTTAGCCAGGGGCGACATCCTCGGCTGTTGCTAGCCCCGCCAAGCCGCGTCGAGGCATGTGGCTGGGGAGGCTGTCGGCGGCTGCTCAGCATCAGAGGCCTCAAGGAGGTCATCCTCAGCCCAACGACGAGCCTTGGAGCGTCCCCCGGGCGCTCCCGCGCGCTGAAGGGCTAGACGAAATGGGAGAGCTTGGACGGCGAACTTGCGGCGTGGCCGTCGCTAAGCGAGTCGGAGCAACTTGAGGCGGAGGCGGAAGGGTGGATGAGGAAGATGTCGATCCCCAACGCTGGAGTAGACCGCCGCGGTTAGCTGGGCGTCTGGACCAGCCGACGAGTTCGCGGGCCGTGGTAGCGGCGGCTGCTGCCTTGCGGCGGCCTCCCTGTCGCCGGCGGCAGCGGATCTGCCCGCCTGGGGTCCGGCCATGTCCGAGGACGGCGGCGGCAGTTCCGGCTGCGCGCAGTCACCGGCGGTCGCCGAATCGCTGGCACGGGGTTCGTCTGCGCTGGATCCACCAACCACCTCGGACCTGAGCAGATCGGGCGGAGGCGTGCCATGGCTGTCTTCCTCGACGCCGACCGCCATCATCGCTGGCAAGCGAGCCCCAGGCCCGTCCCCGGTGGCCGGCGAGGCCATCCCTCCCGTCGGCCCTGGCTCAGGGCACGACGCCGTCTCCCCACCACCATAGCCGCGGAGGGGTCGATTGCGGGGGAGAAATAGGGGAGGCGGAGGCGTCTGCCGCAGCCGGAGCGGCAGCCTGCGCCGGAGTCGGGCGCGGCGGAGCCGGCGACGGGGAGGGCGCGTGGTGTGGCCGAGATGCTCGCGGTGGTGATGGAGGTTGCTCGCGGTGGTGATGGAGGTTGCTCGCGGTGGGGAAGTAGGAGGGAGAGGGGGAGGGGAGGTGGGAGATGGACGAGGAGGGGATGGGGAGGTGGGAGCCTGTGCCGGGTAGGCAGCCGGCGGCGGCGGCGGCGGCGGCGGCGGGGAGAAGCCCGCCAGGGGCTAGGGTTGGGGGAGGAACGCGGCGGTCATCCTTTCTCAGATGCATATATTCAATCACATTTTTTCTGCAGCATGTTATCCTGCTCCTAAATCATTGTTGTTCAAGGCAGCGATGTCAAGCCAACAGTCATCGATATTTATTTACATTCCAATAATTAATATTGTAGAAAGCTGTTCAATTGCTATCCTCGTTTGTTTGGTCATCCCCAACTAATCTGTCACTATACATACACTAAACTTATGATTTTCCATGGTTATAAATAAAGTACTTGACACATCACTGACAGAACTTTGCTATCAGTTATAAAATATTATTATGGATATGCTAGACAACACTTTACTGCTCAAATTACACAGGCCTAAAGAGCATATATTACAGAATAGGCTTTTTTTTTTGGCTACTCCATATATATAAGATAGCAGGTTTGATCTTTACATACAAACTATGGATCGACGCAGACAGACTTGATACAACAGCTCTGTCAAGACTCAAGGGTCTGGTTTCACTTTCTGCTGTGTCTTCCCCATATCACTATGACTGTAATTGAAAAGAAGATGCCAAATCCCAACGCAGTGAACATGAAGAGCAAGACATCCTCAAAGTCCTTCTCTGAAGCATGTGGCAAGCTTGTTTCTGTTGTATTGCTGCATTGTTTGGACACTGGAGGTCCACACAACCCAATGTTCCCAAGAAAAGAGATGTTGGAAAATGTGGAGAACTGAGATGACTCTGGTATTCGTCCAGCCAACATGTTGTAGGACAGATTCAAAGTCGAAAGGAAGTTCAGTGATGCTAGCTCCTCTGGGATCTCACCAGAAAGCTCATTTGAGGAGAGGTCCAATGATTCGAGTTGCTTTAAGCTGCCAAATTGAGCTGGAATTGGCCCTTCTAGAACATTATGAGACATGTTGAGCCCGAGAAGGAGCACAAGTTCCCCAATGGACTCAGGGATGGTACCGCAGAATGCATTATCTGAGATATCAATCAGCACAAGGGTCCTCAATATATTCAAGTTGGTCATGTAATTCCCTTTGTATGTTATTGCCGCTGTAAAATGGTATGTTTGCCCATGGTAATATTGATTTTGCATGACTAATGTCTCGTTATCAGATCTGGTCGTCATAGACTTGAGCATCTTAAACCATCCTACTGGCAATGTTCCGGTGAAGTTGTTTGAAGAGATATCGGCAATTCGCAGTTCTGTAAATGCACATTTGTTTCTGTCTACTGTATCATATGATGGATCTAGCAGCTGTCCAGTGAACTTGTTAGATTTGAGGACAAGAACTTGAAGTTTAGGAAGTGTGCTCATCCAACATGGGAAAGAGTCACTTATCTGATTGCTTCCAATGTCAAGTATCTCTAGATTCCTGCAAGCAACTAGAGATCTTGGTATTTTGCCTTCAATCCAATTGCCACTTAAATCCAACGCCTCGAGTGCACAGCCTTTGTTAATGCTATCAGGTAACTCTCCAGCAAGTTTATTTTCTCTTAGATTTAATACTTGCAGTGTGCTGACATCCTTCATCAAACAAGATGGGATTGAACCAGTTAAGTTGTTATTAGATAGATCAATGAGTTGTAGAGTCCTAACTGCACTACTAATTGACGGCGGAATGTTTCCAGAGAGTCTGTTTTTGGAAGCCTTAAAAAGGAGAGTACCAATGAGATAGCTAGAGAAATTAAGAGGCAAGGATGAAAACTGGTTGTTTGAGTAATCTAATGTGACACTGCCATGTTGTGGTATAGGCATAGGCCCCTCCAAATTGTTGAAACTGACATCAAAGAATTGTATGTGAACAGGAAGCAAAGGGTCAGAACCAATATCTGTAAACATATTATGTGATATATTCAAGAGGTAGATGTAAGAGCCGTTCCAATTCTCCCATGCCCACCGAGGTATTGGCCCATGGATCTGGTTGTCTGAGAGGTCAAGGCCAGTGATGCCATGGAGATGCCTCAATATGCTGGGGAAACTAGACATTCTGCAAGATGCTAAACGCAGGAATTCGATTTTAGGGAAGGACACCAATGAAGAACTATTTTCTCCATCTACCACATGCAGTTCATTGTTTGAGAGATTCAAGACAGTTAGATTTTTCATATTTGAGAACACAGTAGATAGTTGCACTTTGCCTAGAAAATTGTTTGAGTGGACTAGGAGAGTCTGTAATTGAGTCAAATTTGAGATGTGTGGAGGTATCTCTCCATGGAAGTTGCAACTGTACAGAGCTAATTTTGTCAATTGCCTCAAGTTTCCTATCCAAGAAGGTATCCGTCCAGATAGTCCACAGTAAAAGAATTTGAGAACTCTGAGAGAAGTCAGGTTTGAGATCCACGGCGGCATGGACCCTACTAGTTGTAACCCAGACAACTCAAGCCATTCCAAGGATTTGAGCTCACCTATCGAAGAGGGCAGTACTCCATAAAAGCCACGTGCACCAAGGCCCAACATCTTTAGAGACTTGAGGTTGCTTATGGAACTTGGAATTGTACCTGAGAAGTTTGTGTGGTTGACAAACAGATTCTCCAAGCTGCTGTCCTGCGTGAAAGTTGGCAGAACACCAGAGATGCCAAGATTTACAGAGATGTCTAGTGTTTGTAACTTCTTGTGTCGGAAGATGATGGGAGGGAACCATCCTTCAAACTTATTTGTCGAAAGCTGAAGAACTGTTAGGTTGGAGAAGCCAGCCAAGAACTCTGGCACTGGACCAGACAAGTGATTGTAATGAAGATCCATCACTCTGAGAGACTGCAAGTCCGAGATCGATTTACATATGGAACCTGACAGCGAGCAGTATGGTAAACTGAGAACCTGAAGGTTAGGAGTAAATCTGGCCAAATCGTTGCACCATTGTGGTCCATTGCCGGACAGATTCACCATGCCCAAATGGAGCTCCTCCAGGTTTGTGAGCTCAGCCAGCAAAATGTCCAAGTTTGGCACTGAAAGCTGCCAAATGGAATCTGAGTCGTAGAAGATGGCCCTGTTTTCATTGTCAAAATCAACAATATAGAAGCTTGTGGAGAGATCAAGATAAACCAGGTTCTTGAGGCGACCGATGCCAGCTGGCACAGAACCAGCCAAGTTGGTATCAGAGAGGTCGAGGTAGCTTAGCTCAATGAGCTGCTCGAAGCCAGTAGCAGGGAGATGGGCCATGCTGAAGTCGTTGCCGGAGAGGTTGAGATGATTGAGTGAGGTCAGGCTGAACAGTGCCGGTTCGAGGCCACTGGCTTGCAGCTGACGGCCACCCAAGTCGAGGGAGGTTACACGGCCGTCTGCACTGCCACAGCCGACGCCATCCCAGCTGCAGCAGTCCGTGCCGGCGATCCATGACTGGAAGGTGGCGGAATCGCCGCCAGTTGTGTTGAAGGAGTGCTTCAGACGGAGAAGCGAGGAGGCCTGCTCCAGCAGGCAGGGAGCCGGGGGTATGCACATACAGTTCGTGTATGTCGTCGTCACAGCAAGCATGTATATGGTGTGGATTCGTAGGAGAACGAGCAGCATGGTTGAAAATGGTCCGAGATGATGCGGATGTCTAGCGGAGGATGACGCGTTGCTTTGTTCATGTGGCATATATATAGAGATAGAGACCATCTGCCCACACAATATTTTCACACTAATACCGAATTGGAAGAGCTAGCGTCCGGACGGACGGTGCGTCCGGACGCAGCTCCCAAGCCTCCTCTGTCACGTGCCCGCGGGAAAAAATGGCTCGCTCACCCATGCCGTGGGGACCACCCGAGCCTGCTCCGAGCCTCCTTTGTCATGCGCCTGTGGGAAAATGGCTCTTTCACATGCCCACAACATTATCAGCACCAGCAGGCGGCATGCACGCAGCACGACCCACGTAGCATCAACAGCAGCATACTTTTGAAACATACAGTGCCCCACGGTGACCCATGCCTGCATGCACACACACACAACAACACCAGCAGGCGACGTGGTCACGTGCCCACGTGCACGTAGCACTAGGCGGCTCGGTGACCCACGCAACAGCAAGTAGTATACTTTTGAAACATACGCCCACGCAGCAGTAGCACCATGCAATTGCAAAACACATGCTCCCCGAGATCTACTTTTGAAACACTTAAATGAAACATTTGTAACATACGTCTGAAACAGATAAAACACTTGAAACATGCCCTTGAAACACGCGTGTATAGCCATAGCAACATATGCAATATTCAGATCTACTTTTGCAACATCCATATGAAACACCTGTAACATAAGTCTGAAACACTCGAAACATACGCTCGAAAACATACGTTTATAGCCATAGCAACATATGCAACATCCACATGAAACACTTGAAACATACGTCTAAACATAGGCTTGCAACATGCATATATTGTCATTGCAACATATGCAAACATCTCAAATATATTTTTGCAACATCAGATGTAACACATGAAAAAGTTTGAAACACCTGAAACATTTGAAACACGACGTCGCCGATGGCCACAGCCTACCTAGTGGGGAATTACGGTAGTCAGCAAGCTCGGGTTAGGGCGACGTCGCTCCATACGCTCGCGCCCGTCGGTGTGGCCCATCGCTCCTCCTGCGATTCTCCTACGCATGCTCGCGGCCTAGGCTGGCATCCAGCACCGCTGATCGTTCGGCTATAGTTGTCCAGAGCACTGTCCGCTTGCAGGGATGATGCACGGCGCGGCCGGCGATAGGGTGTGGCGCGGTGGGGGGAAAGGCACGACGCGCGGGAGACGGGCGCGAAGTTGTCCACGTACAATTGAGACGGGTGTGAACATACTATAGTACATAATAGAACAGGTAAGAAATACTGTCGTATTACAACTTTGTCGTCAGACTTTTAGTTTATTTATCACTTGAAGTAATTCCGTGTCCTCATTTTCTTTATACAATCTTTGTGCGTGGTGTTGAAGTTTATTTATCATCTAAAGAAAGCCAATTGTTTGAAGCACCAATCAGCCAAAAGAACAAGGGATCTAAAGGAACGCTGGAAAGCCAAGGAAGAAGGAAAAGAACAAGGAATCTAAAGGAACAGTGGAAAACGTATGGAAAGAACTTTGTCCATAACACTGAGTCTTCATCTTTTTTGCGTTTTTAGATTACATGATATTAACTGAATGATTAAGGTCCTGACACAGCTTCAATAGTAAAGCAGTCTTTTTTTGCATTTTAGCTTCACAGGCAGCTTTCTCAATAAAGCTGAGCTGTTTTTTTTGCTTCGTTTGGTAAAACAGTTTCGCTACTCTATACAAATGATAAAAAAAATCTAAAATACCGTTCTCTCTCCCAACGCATCTCACATTCCCTTCTCCCTCCCTACGCATCTCTGTTCATCTCCCCACGAGGCACGACGACTGGCAGAGCTCGACCACGCCCTGGCTGTGGCACCTGCACGCCGGCTACATCCCCGCGTTGCCCGGCGGCGTTCGCGCTGCAAGTGCTCTGCGTGGCCCTAGCGGCGTCCATGTCGCCCGGCGCTGCAGGTGCTTTGGAGGCCAAGCTGCTCGCGCTCTCCGGCCGCGCCGCGCATGCCCCGACGGCGGCGCAGGGCCCCAGAGGCCGTGCGTGTCTCCAGGCATTCGACAGCTGCGCCCGCTTGCTCTCCAGCCCCAGCGGCTTCGCGTGCCCTAGCGGCCGCGTGTGACCCCAGCGGCTGCGCTCGCTCGCTCTCCGGCTGCGGCGGCACTCGCAAGCCCCGGTGGTAGCGGTGTCCGTTCTTACGGGGTGTCGAACCTAGGATTTGAGGTTCCACCGAGTCTCTCGTAACCATTAGACTATGGCCCCTTTCATAATTTATACGGATGGTTTTCAATGTGACTTATATCATTTTAAATGAATTAATTTATGGGGAGTCGTAACTTGTCTCAACGTTAATTGTACCTAGCCATTAGTTGTATTTTTTCTACAACATGACAAACGTAGATGTGTATTTTAATTATTTATTTAAATTGGAACTTGAACACGTTGATAACAGGAATATAACGTGTTGGTATTTAAATTGTTTATATTTATTTTCATGATCCCAACATGGTGTACCAATACGTGTCAGGTCCGGCATGGTGCTAGGCACGGCACCCCTTGCCTTGGGCGCAGAACGATACACCAGTATGCCGTTGTATCAAGAAAATGATGTGAATCTGAAAATGATTTGACCTCCGATGACCATTTGATCTCCAATGGAATATATAACAGGCTCCTAGTGTAAATGGAGAAGTGTTTCTCTCCTAATTCTCACCTAAATCGGTTGGTGTTTTGAACGTTTTGTTGGTTGGGGATGATTCTTTTCGGAGATGCTGAAGATGGAGCTCCCCAAAATGGCCCATCAATTGTTATTAGCACTCCAACCTGCTCCCTCCTAGTACTCTAATGAAATCACTCCATTAGAGAATTAAGGAGCGAGCTGTAGAATTAGGGAGCAGAGCACTCTCAAGGGCTTTAGCCATGCAGTAACATGGGAAGTGGGCAGGGCCTAGTGGTGCCCAGTTAAGTCGGAGCTAGCTGGACCACCCTGACGAAGACCTCGCGACCCCTAGCTGGAGATTGTACCAAATCAAATCAGAATCCAATCGATGCGAGTCAAAAGGACCGTCGTTAAACACATTCCTGGTGGTTGGGATTGGGACTTTCTTTGTCCGTCTCCCACGTTGATCCATCTCTCACGTTGAATAAAGTAGATACAAGTAGGACACGAACAGATAAAGGTAGATGGAGTTTTTTCACAAATGATATATATATATTATTATAAATTAACTTCCACATATATATAGTCTAGACAAAATTTAAAATTTTGGTAAGAGCGAACATAGATAATGGACTAGAGAATTAGGATTTCCCCTTTTTCATTTTCCTTTCTAGTTAGAGTTAGAATATTTTACAGCATTTCCCTTTTAGACCATTACCACAATATATGCACATGTCTTATTAAAAACTCCAACCAAAATTCCCATGAAAAACAGGTTCATAAAGTAAAGAGTACATTGCATTCAGAAATTAAATTGCATATGTTGCCTCGTCAAAAATCTTGTGCGAGAAACCTTCATTTAATACTTACATAGGGGAAAACAATAGAACAATTAACCTTTTTGTCATGTATTTATTCTCCATAATATTCTATTTCTTTAAGGGGCTGTTTGGATCTTTGGAATTGAGTTCATTTTAATAATCATAATTAGGAACAAATTAATTAAGCTAATATGGTTGTATATGAAATATATTTGTATATTACCGTTGGCCATATGAGAAAGATACTCATGTGTTGTATTTCTACCGTAGAGGACCGAGTTGAAGAGTGTGTTATAAGTTGTAAAATAGAAACATAACATGGTGATCTATAGAATCAATTTCCATCTCCCACCCAATGAATTTAAGATAGGCTTATATGTGAACTTTGGAAAGTTACGCACTACAAAAAAAAATGTGTTGGTTTGTGATGTTTATGGTATGACATTAGGTCAAAAAGTCACTAAATCAACTAGTTTATGACGTTTTTTTCCAGAGGCATCTCAACTTAGTGACATAAGTAAATGTATGTCACAAAAGACGTCTTAAAGCTAGTCCAATTGCATATTGTGACAATATTTGCCACGTCATAAAGGGTAATTTGCAAGGATGGTGTGTAACAAATTATTTTATTGATTTTGTTAACACTATTGTCCATGGTGGCATGTGGATCCAACTGCTAAGATGGATCTAGTAACAGCGTAGGTGTTGATATGTCCATAATCGTATATCATTCTAGTAACTAGCAACTTAAGTAAATCAAGACGTATATAAAATATATAAATATTAGTTATTATTAATTGTTTGAAATAGAATGGCGGGCCTAGTGCAAGCGGTAGTCTTACCGCCTGTGACCGGAAGGTCCCGGGTTCGAGTCGCGGTCTCCTCATATTGCGAGGGTAAGGCTTGCCTCTGACACCCTTCTCCAGACCCCGCACAGAGCGGGAGCTCTTTGCACGGAGTACGCCCTATTAATTGTTTGAAATCGTAGATAAATAAATGTACACCTGTATGTAGGAAAGAAAAAGAATAAAAAAAAGAAACTCGAGATATACACCTGTGTGGCGGTGACCCTGCACCCTCCCCATGATACGTAATTCACTAAATTCTCCCGCCAGATGGACCAACCGTGGGCGGCAAATAGAAGCTAAAATTTCACCTCCTGTGCGTGGGCTGAGTGCTCAGTCCAAAAAAGAGTCTGGCCGGACAAAAACCACAAAAACAATCGTCCAAGAAAAAAAACATCTCTCCTAGCAGCCCACGCACACAACCTTCATCTTCTCCACACCAAACCACACATCTTATCCACACGGCCACGCCTTCCCCGCGCCGCTCGTCCTGCACCCTGATTCCGTCACACCGCCCGGCCTCATGCGGTCTGCCACAAGGGCCCCAGTGGGTTGTGTGGCTGTTAAAATGGGATTTTGTGTAGGAATCTACCACCTCAGTGCCACATCAACATTTATTCCTACCTGGCATTTGTTGATATGGCACGATGCAAGAACCCATGACATGAAATC